AGATTTTAACTCAATGGAAAATTTAGTAAATATTTTAAAGTTTATTAAGTAAATTTGTTTTGCCTTTTTGACTTATTCATAATGAAAAAGTTGATTTCGAAAAAAGAAATGAAAAAATAAATTACCCAGATTCCCAGAAAAACTAACCAGATGTTTAACATTTCCTCCAAAACCAATCTGAATAGGCAACTTTTCCCAGAATTATTTTCCGAAAGCCTTTCTAATAATGATATCCAAAGTCCAAATGCCACCTAAATATTACATTACTAATAAACTGTAGCTCACAAAAGGTAGATCGTGCTTTCTAAAACAAAGTGTAAAGGAAAAATAGCACCTAGCTGATACTTTCAACAGGAAATGGATAAGACCAGATGGACAAAATTGAAATAACCTTTGGAAGAAGTCTGAGCATACTCTATGTACAAGGACATTAGCTAATTCTCTAGTAGAGATCAAAGGAATAGCGGGGAAACTTTCTTATTAGGTTGAAAATTGACTATTGGTTCTCCAGTAGAACAGGACATTACCTAGCTTGAGGTATTCTTCCGTGCAGCATAAGATCGATATGCTGCCAGTCCAACTACGGCAACAGCAGCCACAACTGCAATTTTTGAGTTAAGAATTAGATGGTATGCAAAAAATTGATTTAAAACTTTTCCCTCTAATATGCCATCCTATCTTCAGTGCCAATTTTCAATATTTCAGTTCCATTTTGTACTTCTCTTTGGAGATATCTTTAGGGGTATTAGAGTCAAAAGTACCTGAAGTAAACATGAGAGAGCGATTAACAAGGTGACGATATCGCTTCTGGCTACGTCCAACTTCAGTTTCAGGAACACTTATATGAGGGTGCTCTGCAGCAGTGACAATTCTATTGAACACACTATTCAGATCTCTCTCCTTTACACTTATGTGAATAGGTGCCTCTATACCAAAACTCTGACATATCTGAACATAAATTGAATTTTTTTTTTATCAAAAAGGCATATATGGAAAGCAAAATCAAGAAATCATAAAATCGTTTATGTAATTTTTTTTAAAACACAGGGTACATTCAATTTGAGCACAAAATAGAACACAATGAAACAACTATAAATACCTTTGCTGAATCCTTTATTGCCATTGGATATGAATCAAGATCATCCTTTGCAGCAACAAATAGACAAGGCATCATGAAACCACTAATTTCCCCTCGCCTTGCCACA